TTTTTTTTTTTTTTGGGGGGGGGGGTGAAGTGGGGAGGGTTGGAAGTTCAAGGGATTTGCTTTTAGATGGTGTTCACTCCTTTGCAAACTTGTTGACATGAGAAAGATGATGTAGCATCTTTCTCCATGTTGTGGAAATGATTTTCCCAATGCAGGGGATTCGGAGGTTTAGGCAACCTAAGTCTAATAATGTAATTGACAGTGAACATGTTCATACTATGAATATGAAGTATACCTCTTTTTGGAATCTTGGCAAATTGGAAGGCGGCTTGTGATTGATTTGCTTGTTATCTTGGTTTTTTTCCTTTTCTATGTTCTGCTTTTTGATGGTTTGTATTTTGGCTCGAGTACATGTCCATCCCTGTGCTACATCTTTTTACTTTTAATAAAATGGTGTCTTCTATCAAAAAAAAAAAAAGTATCTCTCTTGAGACACTCAGTGTGTGCAGGGTTTTAGGTTTTACCATTATTTCGTAATTGATGTTTCCTCATTCCCTTTATTCCTTCCTTCATTCTATATTTGGAGAGCCAATGTGACTTCAAAGGTGCAAATTTGTGCACGTAAACTTGCTCATGATAATGATGAGTTTCAAAGGAGGAGGCCTAAGACTTTTGTAACAGGGTATTGTGTGTAGAGATGGTAGTGAAGGCATGGATCATTTATTTTGCATTGCCACATGACGCTTTCACCATAGAATAAGTTGTTTGATTTGTGGAACTTTGTTTGGTAGCGCCAAGATCAATGACATCTATGATTTTTTTGGATGTTATGGGTTTGGGAGGAAATAAAAGAATGAAGATCCTTTGGAGTTGTGCTTTTTTTTTTTTTTTAACTATTATTTGGGTCATTTGGTTGGAGAGGAACACATGGATCTTTGAGGAGAAAAGTGAATGGTTATGGGGCCGACTATATTTCTTGGCTTTCTTTTGGGCCTCAATGTCTTAAGAGTTTGCGAGTATTCCTCTTTTTTGCATTATTGCAAGCTGGACACCTTGTTGTGGAACCATCTGTCATTTGGTTGGACGATTTGTCCACGTTTGATTGGTTTTTGTAACTTCTCTTATTTTGGTTTAGTTATAAAATTACTGTTTCATATCGAAAAAGAGAGTTCAGGTTTTACCTTTTTAATTAGGGTCTCTTTTGTTGTTGCATACTGCTTCATTTAATTGCATCTGAACTGCCGTATCTTATCTACAGAGGACCATGCTAGAGAGGCTTTTATATGTAGCACATGTTCCCCATTTATTTGTGTGATTAAATAAACTGCTGCAAAGGTCAGAATGGTTTCAATGATGCTTTACTATAGAAATGGGAGGTCTTGAGACCAGCATATTTCTTTCTGTTAATCGTATGTTGAAATCTAAAATTTCATGCAATAGCTGGGAATGAAGGCCAGAATGGATTGAACTATGCTTTGGTAAAGAAATGCGAGGTCTTGGAACTGCACAACAGTTCAGTTCTTTCTGTTTATCTAAGTGTGGAAAGGTACTAAGAATTTTGTTGAGGTTAATTATAATGTTGAAATCTAAAACTTCTTGCCATAGCTGGAAATAAGGGTTGTGTTAATGATCTTTGCTGATTTATAGGTGGAAGAGCACACAGGTGCAAATGCTAGTTTTTGAAAATGCCCTTCAAATAAAAACTCTAAAATACTGTAAGTAATGTCAGTTATGCCATATGCAAGAAGACCATCATGACACCTTGTGTCAACACTGAAAATGCAACAAGATACATTGATATGGGGGTGATGGGGATCAAGACTTTAAAGCATGTAATTCGACAGTAGAGAAGAAAAACCCTCCTTGGGCCCAAAAAATTGGTTTCTGGTTCCCACTATCGGTGTCACATGATCAGGACTTCAGGAGCTATACTTGAATGTGAATGTGTTTCTGCTTGCTCATAGGATTCTGACCCCTCGTGCGTTAGAAAATTCAGAGTTCTCGTAGCAGGGTATCCCAGGAATTGTACAAATTAGGGGTATTAAGTTAGTTTTTTGTTCTTTTATGTCTTGGTTATTGGTTATTTGGATGCAGTTTAGGTAGTCCTTTTTGTTGTTTGGACTTTCGACTGGTCTCTTTATCTATGAAGTTTTCTCATTGGAGAAGTTTCTAGTTTGCAAGCCATGCTTTTATATAAGCAATCCTTTGTAATATAATTCATTTATGAAAATCTCTCTTCAGAATTTTCTCCTTCCATTGTGAGATTTCCTTGGATTTCTCTGTTAGATGAGATGGGAGTGAGACTCTTAGAAGACTTAGCAACACTATTTAAGGTTTTCTATCTGTTTTTTCTTCCTCCTTTTGTCTTTCTTTTGTTAATTTTCAATCCCAGCCAGCACTCCAGCAAGCAATTAATAATTACCTGACGTTTTGAGCACCAGATCCTTGGTTATTCCCTTGCGGTCCAGAAAATCTTACAACTATTAACATTCAGTTTCAGGCGGAAAGCAGTATTGAAGCACAATGAAATCAAGGCTACATCCATCCAAAACCCTAACGCTACCCTATCAAACTTAAGTTTAAAGCTCTCATCAACTACTATTTGATGATTCCAATCTGCCTTAATTCCCTTGTTTAAGGCTCCATCTTGTAATAGAGGATGATCGATATATTTGCTACTATTTGGTCTTAAGAAAATTGCATTCGTATTAGGGTTTTGTCTACCACTTTCTTGTTTACAGTTCCTCCATTGTAGTTATGATCTCTGTTTTGCATGGCTAAACTCGTTGAAATGTTTTAATATTTCATTTTGTTTCCAGTTGGTGCACTCTGAAAGTTCTTGAGTACTTGTTTGAGTTGAAATTAAAGATCTTGAATTTAAGGGTTTAGAGTAGAGAAGAGGCAAGAGAGGAGAAAAGAGAGATTAGAAAGTAGGGTTTTGGAGAACGAGAGATTATTAGCTGCTTTTCTCATCACTCTATTTATATTAACTCATTATAAACTGGAGATTAAAATAATGTCCTTAATTAAAATAACTAGACATTCTACACTCCCCCGCAAGTTGGAGCATAGATATCTATCATGCCTAACTTGTATACGTCTGAATGAAAAATTCTACTACTAACCCCCTTGATAAACACATCGGCTAATTGTTCTTTGAATGTCACAAAGGGCATACAAATTAACCCATTATGTAGCTTCTCTTTAATAAAGTGTGTCAATTTCAATATGTTTTGTTTTGTTATGCTGAACTGAGTTGTGAGCAATATTTATGGTAATCTCAATATCACTATATATGTGCATAGGTTCATCACTCGAGACATCCAAGTCTTCTATCAAGGTTTTTAGCCATATAAATTTATAAATACCATGAGCCATAGCCTTGTATTATACTGTTGCACTCTTGCTTGCTCCACGAAGTAACTAGATTTCCTCCTACAAAGGTACAGTAACTTTTAGTGGGCTTCCTAATCTCAATTGAGCTTGTTCAATCTGTATCTGTGAAGGTTTCTAATCTTAGATGATCTTGCTTTGAGAATAATATTCCTTTACCTAGAGATGATTTGAGATATCGCAGTATACGATGAACTACCTCTTGATGAGGAACCCAAGGAGCATGCATGAATTGACTCACATCATTCACCTCATATGCTATGTCTGGGCGAGTGTGAGAAATGTATGTAAGTTTCCCAACAAGTCTCTGATGACTTGATCACCCTCATTACTTCGTAGTCTATGGTTTGTCTCAATAGGTGATTCTGTTGGTCTGCAACCTAGTATGTCAGTTTCCTTCAAGAGATCAAGGATATACTTCCTATGTGAGATGAAGATGCCTTTATCTGATCTGATGACTTCAAGAACATTGCGACAACATAAGTTCAATAAGTTCCATACTGAACTTATCACGAAGGAATTTTCACTACAGCTGTCTTTAGAATCCTTTAAGTCCGCAGGACGAGGACTTTCGGTCAAATAAACATGTGACCATGAGTGATGACTAGTCCCATTCAGTTTCATAGAGGTAATTTGTTGAGCTTGATCATCTACCGAGATAATCTGTCTCACTGGATCACCTACAAAAGAATTTTTACTATCATTCGAAGTCACTATGTAACTAAAATACCCAACAACCAATCACCCAAAACAATGTTAATCAGATTGCCCTAGTACAAATCCAACACAAAAAGCAACAAGTACAATCGCACATTAGAGCTCAAAACATGTGGCCCAGAGTGCCAAAAAATCAAAGCTGAATCTGCCCAAGAGTGCCCAAAAAACAAAGGCAACTGCTTCAATCTGCCAAAAAAAAATCCCACACGCCACAAACAACCATGGGTGACTTCCAGAAGATCTCTATAGCCTTGTCACACCCCTCCGTAAGAGAAGAAAACATCATCAGTTATCAGATTATCAAAGAAATCAGGGTCAATTTTTGGCAAAACATTCGAAAATGGGAGTTGTATTTGGATGACCTCTAAAAATTTAACAAAAATCAACATAAATCTCAGCCCAAAGAGTCAACCATAGACCTGAGTTTTGGTCACCGAAAGATATTGAGATCAGCATGACGCTATCACTAGTTTGCTGATGCCAACAACTGGATTTGTGTTGTATTCTTTCTTGAGTCTTCTGCTATATTGATGACTATTTGCCTTGAATTGATTACTTTGATACCAAGTTGAGACAGTAAAAGTAATACTAGGGTTAGAAGAGGAGAGAAAACAGGGAGAGCCAAAAAAGAGAGAATAATCAGTTGTGTACGCTATGTTGCACTACATCATTTTATTTAAATAAACTGATATTACACTGTTACCCTATACTATTAATAACATAAAATAAGAACCCTAACAGGTCCCATCACTTTTTTGCCATGTAAGCAAGCCAGAGGCGGCTATTGAAAGACTCTTTACATCACTAGGTTTTACGATGTTAATGGTTTTATGATATCGTGGACTTCATTTTGACATTCTCTTTCCTATGTATCTTAAAAATGAAGGGTGTTACCTTAAAATCATAATAACCTCACAAATATTTAGAGCATTTTGCAAGTTTCATTCATTCAGTAATCATTAAGTGTCTTGAGAGCGACACCTAACTGTGAAGTAGAAAGTTTTGTTAGCAACTTGATCTGATGTCTAAATTACGCATGGTCTGGTGGTGTTAGCAACTTGATCTGGTGTTGTGGTGACGGCCTTGACCATCCCAGGTCAGTAGGTATGGCTTAAACTGAACATTCGGTATGGCTTAAACTGAACATTCTGTAGCAAATGGGAACCTCAAGGTAACGTTGTGGGGCGACCACCCTTTTTTATCAGCAAAAACAATAATAATAATAATAAAATTACACATCTGATCTGAGAATCTGACATTCTATATTTATCTTGTGTGGGGCTGTTAACATGCATTCCTTCTATAATGTCACTTTTCTGCCATCTCAACATTTTTTTACGAGTTCATAGTATTATATTTTCAGATAGCTTCAACATACTAATATTTTTATTCTCTTTTTCACCAATTTAGCCATATCTTCATGAATCTCGACACCAACATGCTATGAGAAGGGCAAGAGGCTCTGGTGGTCGTTTTCTTAATACCAAAAAGCTTGATAGTAATGCCACAAATCACATGTCCGAAGAGGAGCCAAAATCTGGCGCAAATGTTTCTGCTCAGCAGGGAGAGACGAGGCGTACTGTTGAAGACATGAATAAAGCACTTTCTTTGTCAAATGTCAATGGTAATGGCCATGGCCAGTTCTCGATGTACCATTCACAGTCAGCTAGTGGTGGAGGGGTTGCCCCATACGGGGCTGGACCCCTCAATTGAGAAGCACTTCCCCTCTGCAGACGGAGTGGTCACTCCAACAGTCTCCGCTGTTACAACTAATCATGCCCTAATGCTCGATACATTGGCTTTCCCACATCTTCTGAATGTGTTTGATGGGGGCAAGACTGGTGGAACTGATCACTCCTACTCTACTTGGGTGGCCTTCCCTACTGTGCGGCTATTCCTAGGCAATTCATTCTTGGCTTTGGTTACTTGTGTCTTGTTGGGGTTGAGGTGAGGAAGGACGAATATATGGTGGGCCTCACACTGCCTTTAATCTGCCATGACTAATATTCCTCTACCATTCAGCCCTCCTGTAAATTAGAAGTATTGAACTAACCATGTATTGAAAGCTGTGAATTTGGAAACTACAACCCACAAAAAAAAAAAAAAGAAACCAAGGGGTTTCAAATGTGTAAAAACTGCCTTGCACACCAATTAATCTATACTCTGTGTTTGTGTTTCCTTTCCTTTGAGTTGGTGGTGGTGGTGTATCTTAATTTGGTGCATTTTTCCTATAAGTCCACGTCTTGCACCATGGGGTCAGTGAGGGCGGCTTCGGGCAGTATCCCAGAGGGTCACTCTTTCTTTCCCATTGTGAGATTGAATCCCCCCAACACCAAAAAAGGAAAAGATTGTGCCCACATCTCATCATGGTGGGATATGCCTGCTCTTTCAGAAAGTGAATGATAATGCAGGATTTGTGTTTTCTGTGGCAATTTGGGGGATCCTTATGCTTAAGTTGGTTGTATGAGAGTGGTTTGAATCCTATTGGTTTTTACGTTACAAGGGAAATTAGTTGGGTGGCAATTTTTTAATTGTACAGAAATAAGAAATTTCACTGGTAGGCAGACTGCTGTCCATGACCGAGTAACATTAGTGTGTGGTGGTAGCAGTGGGGGTGGGGTGTTCTGATGTCATAGTTGCCATGGTGGTGGAGGGGTAGCGATGGCGGTAGCATGATGTGCAGTGTGGTGGCTAGGGTGTCGTGTGTCTGTACATGGGTTTGTGAAAGAAAGTTGGGGGGGAGGGGGGGCGGGGGAGAAGGTTATAATCGAGGAACTATAATGCAACTAAACTGAGCTAATGGATTCTATTGCCATTTTTTGATTATTCTTTTTTAATATTATTTTTTATTTAATGGGTGACTTTATTAAAGAACCAAAATAATGAAGATGCTGGGGGTACATAATTCTTAGCTCGTGTTATTTTTAATATAAAAGAAAGTCCTCGTTTTCTCTTTTAACAAAGGTATTGCATCAATAATTCTCTTTTTTCCCCCTAAATAAATACATGTCTTTTTGTAAATATGTTAAAATTAATTATCTTAATTTATGTCCTATTAATGTTATTTCTATTTTTTCATGAATATACTCATTCCAATTATTCATCTAGCTTAATATGTTTTATTATTTACATCTCACTTAAAAATAAAAACACCCTCTTCAAAAGTTTATGGACAAATGGCAATTTAAACTATAAAAGATTTTCACGTTCTTAGTTAAAATTTTTATATTACACTCTCAAATAAATAAAAAATTAAAAATGTGTTTTAATTTAAGCAAATTAAGTACAAAATTTTCACTGAATATTTAAATGTAACAAAAAAAATTGATGAATATTTAGTTTTCAACTATATTGTTACAATATAAATATTTAATCTTTTATTATGGTGAAAATTGAGAATTTATTGCATAGTTTTCTTTCTTCCAACTATTTTCATTTTCTTTGTTTCTATTTTGCCGTTATCATTTTTTTTTGTTGAACGATTAGAATTGTTTCAATTAATTTACGCACATAACGACTAATTTTTTCTCTGACCTAGTCAAAGACATCTCACGAAAGACAAATTATTCATAATCAAAAATAATTTACAATTCATCTCATTACCACTTTGGATTACGATTATCATTTTTGGTTGCCCTAAGAATTCTTACTTTTGTACTTCTGCTATTTGAAAATCTCCTTCTTTCCCAATTCAAACCCTGAAAAGGCTAAAATTCAGGTTTCGAGTCTCAGAATACCGCAGCTGCTTATTGTGGCCCCAAACAGTTCCTGAAAGCTCAAATGCACCTCCCGACAGAAAGGTCTCTCTCTCTCTCACACACACACACACCCACCTCCCCCCCCTGTTGCTGTGAAATAGGAGAACTACCTTCAAATTGATGGTTTCTTGTTTACACAGTGTTACGGTTTCTCATTGTCAGAGAGGCGATCCTGTCTTGCATGAAAATGATGTGTACCTTGGGGGTGTGTTTGTGACGGAAATTCTAAGCTGAAATGGTAGTTTCTTGGAAGCATTGGTTGAGGCTGAAACTGGATTTTCTTGAGAGCATTGCCTAAGTTATTTACAAATAGGCCATTCCAAGGGTTGTTTGTTAGGTGGTTTTGTTCATTTTAGGGTCTCTTGAATTAATACAACTTCATTGATGAGTGATGCGGGTAAGATCTATATAGAAAGTGTAGCTGAGAATTTCTGATTTTACTGTGTCAATGGTGTGGTGGGGGAACCATGGCAAAAGGGTAATCCGTTGCCGATAAGGGTTGAACTTTAGAATGGAAATTGTTGCTGAAAAATGTCCAAATCATACAATCATTTAATTGTTCATGTTCAAGTTAGGGTAGCAAATGATGCAGAAAAGAGGATACGTGTGTCTTCTAAAGCAAAAGTCATTAGAAAGATCCAAGGAGCACAATCAGACATTAGTGAGATGGTGTGTACCCCCAACATACTCCAAACACCCCTTGGGGGTGTTTCGAGCGGACATGGTGCTGAAGTGCTGCAGTGTGCCTGTCGACGTTTCAACACCTGTGTCTCATCAGACGCGTCAACTTGTGGAGGTGTTGGGGGATCATGTACCAATTGGCAAACTTGCTTAAATTCTGTTAAGTTCCTTTAAAAGCAGATTTGATGGAGTCTTTCATGCCCAGATGGATGGTAAGTTCTCGCAAGGCCTTTTGCCTAGGATTGATTGAAAGTTTTTTTCCCCTAACTTGGCTAACCTAAATTTAAAACCTTTCCCTATGGCAACTTCACCATTAAATCCCAATTTGTCTTACAAGCTCTCTTGGAGCTTATGCCTCAAATACTAGTGCAAAGCTACGGGTGTGTGGATACACGTTTAATGACAATTGAACTAATTTAGTCCAATCTCATCTTTACGCTACAAGAAATCGTACATTTAGCCCCGAAAATTATGACAATTATTTGTAAAAGTTTCCACTCTATGATTTAGCGGATTTTTTTTTTTGCCACTGAGCGGTGATTATATATGTACATGAGATTTGGCTAAATCATTTAGCTAGGACATTTAAAGTCGCCACTAAAAGTGACAATTTTACCCGCAATAGAAAAAATGTCATTAAATCTGAGACATGTAACTGCGACAATACTTGTAGTAAATTCATACTAATTTTGCCACTAAAAATACGATTATAACTTGACTTTAGTGGCAACAATTTGTCGCGGCTAGAGCTGCATGTTGTACCCACATAAAATCACCCTTAAAATGTTAGGGCATTTTTTTAGTGAAAACTTATTGCTATGGATGAAATTTTGAATTAAACAAAATATCAAAAAAAATATCCAATTTTGTTAAATTATTCCTAATTATTTTGCGAAGTTATAATATTATAAAAATCAACAACAAAAGTTCACAAGTCACTCAAAATTAGAATTGATAATAGAGTCGAATTTGTTGATCTCGTTTTTTTAAAATAAATTTAAAAAATTATTCAAGCTTAACTCATTTAGAAAAGAAGCCGAGCCCAAACTGAGTTTAAAACAAGCTAAACTCCAGCCGAGTTTGAGTAGGTCGATTGTTTTACGTATAAATGAAATAAGTCTAAAAATTTGTTCGAGCTCAACTCTTATAGATTTGGCTAAACGAGCCGAGCTCGACCTCGAATTTTATTCGAACTGAACTCGAGTAACTTGAGTTAATTATTAACCCTACTCAAAATGGTGAACAACTCAGTTAGTATTCAGCTATCTAGGCTAGATTTTATAACTAATGCCACACATGCCCACAAGAATTTATCTACAAATATCTTCAACGACATTAACATCATCCTTCGATAATCACCAAAGCAGTAAATTTTTTTTTTTTTTTTTTTTTTAAACCTTCAAAAACACAAATGAGAAAGAGTAAACCGAGTTCACAACCATAGATAATCACCAAAGCAGTAAAATTTTTTTTTTTAAAACAGATGATGATGCTAAGCTTCGACACTCCAACTGACTTGATATAACTTTTTGTTGATTCGGCAGAATCTAATGGATGCTCAGGTCACTCAGTCAGAACCTGATAAGAACCTTGACACAATCTGGCTGCTTCAACAGTTCAAATGCTTTGTTTATTTCAGCCAGTGAGACTTCATGAGTTAAAAGCTCATCTAGTTGGATCTCCTGTGGGGAAAAAAAAAAATATAATACTTTGGTTTTCTGCAAGCCATTCATGGTGAAAAATTGCAGTGTTTATATATATAGCATCTATAAAAATAGTGTAGTATAGATTTAGAAATGTATATAGTACTACCTTGTTAATGCATTTGTCAATAATAGTAGGAAGGTCCGACTGGGTTCTTACACCACCATAGATGGAGCCCTTCACTGTTCGTCCACACAAGAGTGGAATGAATTTGATCTCTCCACTTGTGTGAAGTCCTGCACCAATGAACACCACTGTCCCGAGTCCCTGATGATCATCTCGCACCACCAACAGAAATCAATTAGACGGGCAAAGATATATATATATATATATATGTGTGTGTGTGTGTGTGTGTGTGTGTGTGAATCAAACTAACTAACTTAATTCATACCACTTTTGTGGATGCAATTGCCTCGTCGAGCAAAGATGGCACTCCGGTGCACTCAAAGCAGTAGTCCACCCCTAATCCTCCTGTTGCCTCGTTAATTAAGTCGGAAATAGATTTATCAGACCCTTTTGCATATATAAAATCAGTCATTCCAAAGGCCTCCCCCTTTTCACGTTTTCTATCGTTTATGTCGACTCCAATTATTTTAGCTGCCCCCTGCATTCGAGCTCCCTCTACCACCTGCATGCAACTGCACTTGTTATGACAAAAATTTCCAACATAGACTGTATACCCCATTGAAGAATTGTGAAACTAGCTCTCGACCCAATTAACAAGTGAAAATAATCATATATAGTACTTGTGACTTTGTGTACATGTACATACCCCAAGTCCAACAGCACCAAGACCAAGAACAGCAACAGTTGAACCCTTTTGGACATTGGCTTCCTTCCATGCTGCTCCAAAACCAGTTGTAAAGCCGCAACAGAGGAAGCTAGCATGTGGCAGAGCTAACCCGGGGTCAACCTTGACGGCGTAGTTGGCATCAATAACAATGTACTCAGACCACGTAGAGCAGCTGAAGTGGTGGTAGATTTTCTGACCTCCCACTGACATTCTTGATGTCCCATCTCCCAACAGACCACTGAAACCTAAGGGATGGACATGGCACAAGTTTGTCTTTCCTGACTTGCAGTTGAGGCATTCCCCACACTCCCCTAAGTAGAGTGGCATCACTGTATCTCCTTCTTTCAGCCCTCTCACATTTTCCCCCACGCTTTCTACCATGCTGCGCGCGTTGACAAGTTTATCACACACACACACACACACACAGATGGAGTTTTTGTTCAATACACACAAAAGAGCTGGGCAGCCAGTGCAAATAAGGCAGAGGTTCTAGAGCACATAGAACGATAGAGGGAGAGCAAAAATGTCAACAGTCAAAAAAATTTGAGAACCTCATATTATATGTATACAATCACACATTCACCAATAAAAATACAATTTAGCATGCTTTCCCCAGTGCCCCATGTCCAAATACATACGCAATAGACTATGACCATATATATATATATATATATATATATATATATAGAGAGAGAGAGAGAGAGAGAGAGAGAGAGATTACCCTACACCTTCGTGTCCAGGAATTCGGGGGAACAAAGGCTGGGAAAGCATTAAGAAAGAAAATGATGAGATGATATTGAGTAAAAAAATATGATAAGTAAGTGAAATATTAGTGTGTAGATAGGAGTACNGAGATGATATTGAGTAAAAAAATATGATAAGTAAGTGAAATATTAGTGTGTAGATAGGAGTACTAACGAGTGGAAGGCCATTGCAGCAAAGGATGTCAGTGTGGCAGATACTGGCGCATAGCATCTTAATCCTAACTTCGGAGGACTTTGGCGGATCCACCTCTATCTTCTCCAGCTTCAGAGCCTCCCCAGATTTATAAATCACCGCAGCTGCAGTCACATATTTATTATATACAACCACCCACATATACATACATGATACAATACAACTACACGAATGCGTAGATTTTATAATCTCGACCATTGAATAGGTAATAGGTCTTAATAAATATTAGGATTTATAGTGAAATTAATGGTTGAGATTATCAAGTCTAATTTTTAAGTCTACGTAGCATTACTCACATATATATATATATATATATATATATATATATGTGTGTGTGTGTGGAAGCAGGTAGCAGAGACGATGAGCTGATTACCTTTGCATGTTATGACCTCTGGACTGTTCTTCGTCATTTTGATGGCTGGATGGGAAATGAAATTGAAAGGCTTTGAACAAAGTGTGTTTGGTTGGGGTTTGAGTAGGCTACGTACTGTCTGATCTATACATATCATTTATTTATAGTCTTGGAGTCGGAGCCACACGGTTCTATCTCTTCAATAATTCCATCCAAGTGGTTTGATTTTTTTTTTTTATATTTCTTTAATGACTACGCTGTTCTCGTGCTCCATTACCTAATTTTAATATTTAAAATTATACTATAACCCCTTCATGTTTGGTTTAGGCATTAAGCCCACTTTATCCTATTTAATTGCTTGTTTGGACACTTTGGATCCGGTTTTATCACCTAAAAATAATCTAAACCTAGATGAATAATATTTTTAAACCCACAAATAGCCTCTTAAATGAATCCACCTAGTTGGTGGGTTTAAATAGTCCAGTTGAAATATGTTTTCAAAAAATACATTTTATCTTCAAGAATTTTTAGAATATAATTATTTTGAGAGTTCTTTATTAATTTAATATTTATACTATCATTCAGTACTCTATCTAAACAAAGTATTGAATGAGATAAATATGAGACCCACTACTTTAAAAACTACGTTCTTCTCGTACTCCATTACCTAATTTTAATACTTAAAATTATACTATAAACCCCTCATGGTTTAGGTATTAGGAGAGAATCTTGGATAAAATAATATTTGAGCCTACCTTATACTATTTAATTGCTTGTTTGGACACTTTGGATTCGGTTTTATCACCTAAAAATACTCTCAACCTCGATGAATAATATTTTTAAACCCACATATAACCTCTTAAATAAATCTATCTATTTGGTGAGTTTAAATAAACCAGTTGAAAAATGTTTTCGCAAAAGACATTTTACTTTTAAGAATCTTTAAGATATAATTATCTTGAGGGTTGTTTAGTAATTTAATGTTTATACCATCATTCAATACTCTATCCAAACAAAGTATTAAATGAGATAAATATGGGATGATAAGACATTATCACTTTAATTACTCCAAGTCCCAGATGGATGAATATGAGATGAACAAATTTATCCAATCTGATACTAATTATGTCTAAGCCAAATACACCCTTTAATGTCAAACATGTGTTTGCAGCATTTCATTCAAGCGCTAGGTTTCCCATTTTTTCTCTAATTTTTTTTTCTTAGCGGATCACTTAGCCACCATGTATTTAAGTAAAATTCATTATATATAAGTAAAATTCATTATATACAAGTGAACGTTTAACACATTAAGAATAGTGATATTAAATATATATATGTTAAATGTGGCCACCAAGATCATTGGTTGTACATAATGCAAGTGGTCCACCCACCTTGTACAACTTGTTAGACTTGACAGCATGAACTAGGGTAAAAATCCTATTACAAAAGGAAAATGCTCTGAGGCCAGCACGGGGAAAATGCAATCGAAAATGAATCAAGGTTTGTGTATAGCATGGGGTAAGTCTTCTTCTGTAGAAAATATTCCAGTCATCTGTATCCATCTTAAAACACGCTTCTACTTTTATTTGTCTCTGACAAACTGCCATATGGATCCAGCTGCCACAATCATTAATTTATGTATTNTTCCAGTCATCTGTATCCATCTTAAAACACGCTTCTACTTTTATTTGTCTCTGACAAACTGCCATATGGATCCAGCTGCCACAATCATTAATTTATGTATTTTTTTTTTCCCTCTTTTTTTGTATCCGCCTTGTTAGAATAGGTGGTTCATATTCAATATCAGTAATATTATACCGATCAAAATTAGAAACTAAATAAAGAGTTTAAATGATNGTTAGAATAGGTGGTTCATATTCAATATCAGTAATATTATACCGATCAAAATTAGAAACTAAATAAAGAGTTTAAATGATATGACAGTTGCTGATATGACAAGATTAACTGTCGTGTCATTTCTTTTCTCTGTTTTTTTGTCTGTGCGTGTTAGGGAAGCGGAGAAGACGAAAAGATTTTGTCTCTTCTGTCCTTGATTTGGAGAAGACGAAAATATTTTGTTGACATGACAGTTAATCTTGTCATATCAGCAACTGTCATATCATTTGAGCTTTTTATTTGATTCCTAAGTTTGATCAGCATAACATTACTGATTCAATATATGGAGTGGTACACCAAGTTCGAAGATAGGTCGATTGTCACAGGAGAATTACACGTGCCTTTGGATTTGCCCTAATTTGTTTTTAGTGTGAAATAAAAAAAAATAAGACAGTTGTTCTCATGTAGACGTAGGCAGATTGCAAAACCAAGAAAAATTTTGTGTTCATTTTCTAGTTGTTTTTGTTTTCTATTATTCATCGCGCACAAATCACAACATGTCTTTTGTCTATTTTTTTTTTTTTGCGAGGTGGTGGTTGGTTAATCAGATGCGGAGACAAAAAAATCCAATCTTGTTCGACAAGCTTAGAAACTTGTCTAGCTTGGGAGTTAAGTTGGCAACTCGCCAATAACTAGAACTAATTAGTGCAGAGATTGGTTTAATCTCAATCAGTCTCGGTTGAACCAAGCTCTACAAATTTGGTCATTTTTGTCATTCACTTCAACTTTACGAATGCATCTAATGTAACGTAAGTGATTTGGTAAAAATATCTACAATATAAAATTTCAATCTCACCATTAATAACCAAGTTACAAATATAATGATATTTAACATGAACATGTTTCGTTCTCCTATGAAAAACTAAATTATTTGACAATCCAATTGTAAATTTGTTATCACATAAAATCTTCGTAGGAATTTTATGTTAATGTGCAAAAACCCAAGCATACGACGCAATCATACTATCTTTGTCGCACTATTGGTAGTTGCATTATACTCTATTTCAAAGGTAAAAAAGTCGACAACTTGCTGTTTCTTTGAATGCCAAGAAAAAAAATTCTTAAACCGATCTGAAAGTAATATCGTGAAGTACTTTGTTGGTACATTTGAGAAGGGGTAGTAATTCTTAAACCGGCTTGTAACTTTGAGTCAACCTTGAATTCATGTCATCAGATTCTTCGCATTCCACTTTATTTAGGACCGCCTCCATTGTGTGGTTTGATTGAAGAAAACAAGGATTTGAAATAACCCACTGCAATACCTTCAAACTCCTCTGGATTTTCACACCTGTCATCGTGCTCGTTTCTGATCTTCTGTATTCAGTCATTTCTTTTTCTGTGTGATGCCCAAGAATGGAAAAATGTTGAATTTCGGTCACCTTCTTCAAGCCAATTTTATGTGAGATCTCTGTCTTCAATGAGTTTCTTCAAGATCCAATAAACCATCCAATTCCACGCCGACTTAATCACTACCTCGCAATCACTTTGCTTGACCTATGCCGCTTTAAAGCGAAACCTCTTCCTACGCCCAACACTTGAACTCATAGAATTTCTGGCTTCGGTATCTAGAAGTAGTTTATAATTATCAGACACTCTACTAAACCTGTGGGTGATTGTGTTCTCATTAAGAGCTTTGCATCTCTCACAAGCAGGATCATTGGTGAGGTTTCTTGTCAACCTCAGGGAATTGGAAAGGAGTCCGTCACTTTGGAGCAACCACAAGAAATGTTTAAGCTTATGTGGCACCCTAAGTTTCCATATCCAATTCCAATTTAAACCCTGTTGTTGACTTGGAATAGATTTAGAAACCCAGTTATAAGCAAATTTGATAGAGAATTTTCTATTGCTTGTAAGACCCCAAGATGGTGAGGGAGACTTCCGATGGTCGTGTTAAGTGCAAAAGTTCAAAAATAAAGTTAGAGGGGAGGCACATACTTGCTTTCTGGATATTCCAGTTATCTATGGAGCTTATGATCTCCGTCATTGTGTTACTGGGGTCAGCTGTAAACGAGTATTCGTCTGAACCCGCCCCGTTTGAACTAGTGATGGACTATATGTATTGGACGGTGAACGCATACGAGAATAATTGTATAAACTCGTACGGGGATAAAGATAGGGATGTACTTACCCTTACTGGGATCTGCAACCTTTGTTGGAGTGGACTTTCACCTATCCACCAGTCATTNGATAGGGATGTACTTACCCTTACTGGGATCTGCAACCTTTGTTGGAGTGGACTTTCACCTATCCACCAGTCATTTCATACCAAAACCTTTGAACCATTGCCAATGAGCCATTTTATATTTTCCTTCACAATTTGACTAGTTTTTAACAAAACTCTACATATTGGGAATGCGGTAGATTTGTGTGGCCAATCTTTCAAAGATGGGTTCATGTACTTTTCTTTGACCACTCCAACCCATAGGGACTTACTCTCAATGTGCAATTTCCATCCCAGTTTAGATAGAATGGCTAAGTTATTATCCCTACACTTTCTCAATCCCAAACCCCCTAGCTCCTTGGGGGAGCATACAGTATCCCAGTTAATCAAATGAACCTTTTTTCTTTCTTCTATATCCCCCCAGAGGAAGTTCCTATTTAATCTATCAATTCTCTCACAGGTGGACTGTGGTAACCAAGAAGTTTGCATTATGTTGTTTGGAATTGTTGAGGTTACAACTTGGACAAGAGTGTCTCCCTGCCAAGGAGAGGTTTTTAATCTTCCATCTACTCAATTTANTGTTGTTTGGAATTGTTGAGGTTACAACTTGGACAAGAGTGTCTCCCTGCCAAGGAGAGGTTTTTAATCTTCCATCTACTCAATTTAGTTTGGATTTTTTCAATCACTGAGTTGTAGTGTTCCTTACTCTTTTATGAATTATAGGGAAACCTAGATAATTTCCTAGGTCTTCGGTGCATGTAATGCCACTTCTTCTCCCTAAATGCAGTGCCTGACTCTTGCTGATATTAGGGAAAAAGTATACTCTAGATTTTATGATGCTTACTTTTTGACCTGTGATAGAGCAAAATTCTTCCAGAACAACTTTAACCATGTCACAATCTTTTTCAAAAGCCCTAGAAAAGAGGATAATGTCATCAGCAAAAAGGTGAGTGATGATAGGGCCTTTTCTAGAGGTCTCGATGTCATTCCATATTCATTTT